AAAAAACTATTGTATTTGTGAACTGCAGTTTACAGTTACTGAAAATGATTAAGAATTAAGCTGTAAAAAAGAAGAAGCTTGAGGACAAAAGAGAACTTGAAATTGTGTCACCTAGTCTGTGTGTGTCTGTGTGTGTGTGTGTGTGTGTGTGTGTGTGTGTGTGTGTGTGTGTGTGTGTGTGTGTGTGTGTGTGTGTGTGTGTGTTTGTTAAAACATATTTACATGTGAAAACGAGCAAGCATACGTGTGAGACAACAGGCAGAAACCAGACAGAAAACTCACATCAAGCTTTTTCACAGTTTCTTTTTGACGTCCTCGTTCACTTCTTCTGGCCTGTTCCCTCTGTCCTCGTTCACTTCTTCTGGCCTGTTCCCTCTGTCCTCGTTCTCAGGCTGGGGAGATCAAACGCTGTTACAATGTGTTGCTGCTGTGCTCAAGTTTTTATTTGTCTCTTCATGTGAAGAGGGACAGTGTACATGAATCAACATTCAGACTGATGTAAATGTACCAGAGTTAGCTGAAAGGTGTTGGGGTTGTATCAAGTCAACTTTGGTTATATTCTTTAATAATTATACTTAATTATTAATAATATAAATAAAATATCATTAAACTATGTTTAATCTCGTTTTGGGGCACCAACCTGTAATCAGGTAAATATAACCAAAATATCACTCAAATCAGTCTCAAATTAGTTATTTAATTACTAATATTATTAATAATGAATAACTATATTTAATAAATTGAAGGCGTGAAATCCGTACACAAAGCCCTCACACCCAGCTTATATCACAATGCAAATACACCAGTAATCACAAACAACTGCTCTCTTAAATTATAACAGAATTTATTTAAACAAAGCAACATCAATCCAAAATCAATGAACTTAATTAAACAAATAACTATTATAAACTAATCTAAGCAACAAACATTATCAAGCAAAGGCTTGTGGAAGGGGTGTGAATGTAGGTGTGTGTGTGTGTGTGTGTGTGTGAGAGAGAGAGAGAGAGAGAGAGAGAGAGAGAGAGAGAGGGAAGAAGAAAGGGGGGGGGAGATGGCTTCGTACCCTCGTGGTCGTTCACGATGGCGCAAACCTAACAAAGACCTGGGTGCGTGCGCGTGTGGATGAAAGGGAGAGAGAAGGGGGGGGGGAGATTACTTCGTCCCACGTGGTCGCCCTTCCGATGGCACACACCTAACAAAGGCCTAAATGTGGCCTTAAGGTCTAAAAGACACCGAGTTCGGCCCTACACGATCGGTGTCTCTGAGGCGTCTGGATAGCCGCGAGTGTATAGATCTCTGTGCGTAATGGCGCGGTGGTGGAGTTGGTCTCCAGATGTACGTTTACACAGGAATATGTGTGTATGTGTGTTCGTAGAAGGGGAAATAAAAGAGAATAAAAGAGAAATGCGTGCCTGAAGGGGCCGGATCACAGTCCGACTCCCGCGCCACAACTCGGAGTAATTCCCTTCATTCACAGAAACAAACCAATAGCCGAATTCAGGTTAATACGGCTTACACTGGCCTTTCTGATCAGAAGAGTAATACCCGGTTATAACGCTGTTACACTAAACACATATAGGACGCAGCAGTCCGAAACAACAACAGGAGTTTTAAACAGATGAAACTCAGGACGCAGGTCCAACAAAGATAAAAATTACAGTTTCTGCTTCGATCAACAATTGTTAAAAACACTCTCTAAAGCTAATTCTGCCCAGACCTAATTAAGCCTCACTTGTGAATCGCTTTGTCCGCGATTGGTGAAAGGAAAAGAGTCCGGCGATGGAGCAGATCTTCTGTCCGTCCTGGTGCAGAGGCGTCTGATGGCGGCGAGGGTCCCTTACGGCGAGAGCGGCTTCGTTGGTTCTCCGTCGAGTGGAAAGATGTCCGTTGATGTCCGTTCGTTGCAGGACGGAATAAGACCGTTGTCTTTCTAATAATCTGTTATAGTCTGACGCTCTCCGAGAAACTGAGATGCGTTCACTGGACAATCCGAGCTCGGAATTTAGAACACTGCCGAGATATAAACAATACCATTTGGGTATTAAAGTGTACAGTGTTAAGTAATAATAATAATAATAATAATAATAATAATAATAATAATAAATTAGACTTATATAGCGCTTAACAAGGTCAACAACAAAAACAGAAGAAAAACAATACAACTAAGAAATACTGTAAAAGAAGGAGGATGAGAGTTCTTAGTTATTGTTAGTGGTTGTAGGCGATGTTGAAGAGGTGAGTTTTTAGAGGTTTCTTGAAGGAGTGTCAGTTTGTAAAGTGTGCAATGGTGAAGAGTGTGAATGTTGATGCTGGTGCTGATGTGGCCAACCACCGCCGTGTCATCTGCAAATTTCACAATGATGTCGGAGCTTCTCTTGGCCACACAGTTGTGTGTATAGGGTGAAGACTAGGGGGCTTAGGACACAGCCTTGTGGTGCTCCAGTGTTGAGGGTGCAGGGGCTGGAGGTGTGTCTGCCCACTCTGACCACCTGGGATCTGTTTGACAGGAAGTCCAGGATCCAAGCACACAGGAAGGTGTTTAGCCCTACAGTATGTCAACCAGCTTGGAATGGAGGCTGGCGGGGAGTATGGTGTTGAAATCTGAACTAAAGATTGTGGTATTAAAAACAACTGATGTGATGCTCTGAAGGAAAAGACACTCTGACTAAATGTGATTTTTCTAACTGGGATTGTGCAGTGCCCCCTATAGCTGCACTTCTAGTTGTCCTGTTTGTTGTGAGCCATATAAATAAAGAAAGTGACAATCTTCATTTCTGTTTCTACATCAGTTACATTTACCCAGATATGTTGAGATAAAATGTTTAATCAAAAAACTCACAGATTTTTAAGAATATTTTACAACATGAGCAGAAACATTTTTTACCCAATGAAAACAACTCTGTTATATTACTGTAGCATGTAGCTATTAATCATTATAAGCAGCAACCTATTTACAGTATAAATCCAAATCATGAATCATGAATGGGGCAGCAGTAGTAGCTCAGTCTGTAGAGACCTAGGTTGTACGGGAGTTTGTCTGTTTGTTGGAGACGTTCCAGGTCACTTTCTGAGTACAGCCAAATTGTTCTTAAGTAAGGCACTGAACCCCAAACAGCTATGACGCGCTCCCTGTGTATCAGTCCCACGCTGACATCTCTCTATTAGTGCACGTTCATAGATCCTGTTTGTGCATGTTTGTATTTTGAGTCTTTGTGTGTGAGTAGTAGCATTTCTCTCAATATCAGAGTGTAAACCAGAATTTCCCCTTCAGGATTAATAAAGTATATTAAAACTTTAATACATTCTTAACATGGAAATACTGATTAAAGTGTTTTTTTAACCAAACACATGATTTTTATTTCTCTTCTCTCTGCAGGGACTCCTGTGTTTGTGCAGACAGGAACAGATTTACGTCTGGAAGTGAAGGAACCTGTTGTTCTGAAGGAGGGAGAGGATTTTATATGGAAGGTCAATGGCAGTATTAATGTTGTGAAATTTCGTGGTATTGAACACTCCATTCCAGAAAAATATAAATCTAGAGTAGAATTTTCTGCACAAACTCACTCTCTACTGTTAAAGAACGTACAAAAGGGGGACAGTGGAGTTTACAGAGCACTTGTTTCTGGTGACAAAGACATCACTGTAGCTGAATACAACGTCACAGTTCTGGGTACGTTTCTTTAATTTGAAAATGTTGATACAGAGTCGTTCCCTGTTTTAAAAAAAGTCATCACACTTGCTTTGCTTCTTGCAGATCCAGTGTCTGGAGTGAAGCTGACAGTGAAACTCTGCAGCTCAGACTCCACTAACGTCACAGTGATCTGCAGCACTGAGGACTCTCTCATCAGCAGCACGTTCACATGTGACACACAAACCTGCTCTCACGAGGGAGGAGAGCGAGCAGAGATCATCACACCTGGTGCTTCTCTGGACGTCTACCTGAAGAACGGTTCAGTCATCTGTAACCATAGCAACCAGGTCAGCTCTACAAGGGACATCCAAAAGATTGAAGAGTTTTGTGTAAAGCCTGAAGGTAAGAATTAAAAACTACAATTTAACGCTTATAAACAGTGTGGACTGTAGCCTGAATAGAAACATACAGATACTTATTTCTCTTTTGATGAAACAGTGATATAAATATTCTCCATTGTGTTTCAGCTGTTGGTAGGAGATCATTTTGTTCATAAATTCTGAAGAAATAATTTCAGCAGAAACATTGTCATGATTTAAGACTAATCAGTGCTAGTTTGTTAATCAATTAGCTTTAAAAAAACAACACACACAAAATATAAACTTACACATGACAGACCATTAACAAAAACCACAAGAAGAAAACAAAGACCAAACCAGTCATCATGTTCATCATTCTTCTAAACATGGCCTTAGTGCGATCCATCTCATTTCAGTCATTCATTGTTCTCTCTCTGTTTGTGATTACGCCCTCTAAACTATAACATGAAATGAAGCAGAGATTATTTGACATATAAATGGACTAGCATTAATTGTTTAAAAGCTAAAAACAATGAAATTGATTTTATGAGATTCAGATGTGTTATTAATCCCTGATGGTCAATTCAGTCACACAGCCTTTAGAGTCTTATTAAAAGAAGCCAAGACAAAGTAAAGAGTTACATTTACATGCCAGTAACAACAGGTCACCAAAGGAGATAACAATCTATTTAAAGAAACACAATGTCAGAAATGTCTAAGGTGATCCTTAAAACCAGGAGGTGACTATCCTTCCATGTAGTTTTAAATTGTGACTTTAGGGCACCATCCATTCAGGGTTGATTAGACCAATTTCATATTTTACTACAGATCAGGTCTGTGAGATTGAGTGGTTATAGTTCACTCTTAGGTATGCTGCAAGAGTTCAGCCAAGTATGAATTTCTAATCTGGCTTTTTTTTTCTTTACAGCATCGAAAGGCAGCCAATATAAAGTTACACTGATTGTTGTAGCCATCGTCTTATCTCTTGGTGTTTTGGCTGTAACTGGAGCTGTATTTATCATCAAAGGAGAAAACAAAGTAAGTTAAGTTTGCATTTAAACTGAATTTAAATGTGAAATCAGAAAATCCTTATTGTTTACATCAAACTGAATTGACCCTTTAGATGAGTACATTCTTCTCCCCTGTGTTGATGTTTTTATTATCATTCAAAAGACGTCCCTTATGAGTGAATCCTCTTATCAGGGCGATCTGATAAAGACAGCGCAGCAGTTACACTTAGAAGCCACACCTTAGAGTTAGAATAAATAAACAATTTACAATGTTAACAAAATAAATCACATGTAAAGAACTTTTAAATTCACATGAATTTACAATATTTGAGGATGGCAATTCAAAACTGTTTGTCATTTACAAAATATTAAAATGAGGCCCCATTATAAAATGTTTATGCATTTTGATTGCATTCATTACTATTAATAAATTAACAGAATACATTTTTCAATGTAGAAAAGTGACTCTCAAAATCACACCAAATAAATCCAGAAAAGAATCAGCTCCAGTAATGTTAATGTAGTTTCAACATGTTTCTTTATGACTGATCTGCAGATAAAGCAGAGAACATGGAAAATACAGTCTATGAAGATCCTCAGGTAAGGAGGAATATTTTTTAACACCAATTTCTCAAATTAGTCAGAAGTGAAGAAATTCTTGAACAAATTAATGATTGAGAACTGATGTGAAGAGACAGGCCAGAGACATTACTGTTTTCAAATTCCTCACTAGCTCATATTCTATTGGTCATGCCTGCACACATATGGAGCCCTGCGTTAGTTCAGGAGGAATACGTAGTCCTGCCTGCAAGCGGCCATCAGCTGATCTGAGAACCGCCCCAATGCCAACCAATCATTTTCACACTCTGACAACAATGCGGTCTATTTAAACCATTCTGCCTCTCACTCCTCCTGCATCACATCCACTCTGCTGATAGACACTGCTGTGAAATTTTCCTTCCACCAACCCAACCTCCACCTGCTTCAGTCTGCACATTTTATACTCTAGGATGAATTGTTTGCTTGTTATGTCTGCAAGATGTTAGTACCATTACATGCACATTCAGGTTCTGTTCTGCATGTCCCCATGGGGGAATTAAAGGTTTGCACTCTCAGCAAAATCTGTGGCATGCTGCACTGATACTGCTGAGAGATAAGAGCAGAAACAATACTGTTAAATACAACTGAACAAACCATGAGTTCAATAAATGGTTAAATCTATGACAAGAGTATTCCTGACTGAACTTACATAGTGGTCTGTTCAATGAGCTCTTATAACACTAACCTCTGCATTGATCTGCTCTTCCAGGTCCTGCTGCTTGCTCCTACCAGCCACACGCTCACAGCTCATGTCTCTGGTTATTCTGCTTTCTTGTGCTTCAATGTAATGCAATGAAGCTTTAAAACGATTGATTTCCAGATGAATGTTGAATGGCAATCCATCTCTTCCAACCTGCTGCTGCAACAGTTTCATGTCGCAATGTGTCCATTATGACTGCAGTAAGTCTGCTATGTATGTTTGTCTGCTTTTTGAAAGTTGTTTTCCCCTCATTTTTTGCAACTTCACAAAAGTGGCGTCTTTGCAAAAACAACAAATGCAGGTTCTGCAAGGTGCTGTGGGCTCAGAAGTCTGTGTACTATTATCGAGATCAGGCCAGTGTTGAAAATAAAGCCCATGTGGAAGTGCCCAAAACTGCAGCTCCTGAGGGCTGACAAATACCCATTTCCACCCCATATTAAAATGTCCGTTTGTACTAAGTGCTGACAGGCTGGTATAAAGAAAACCACAGCTCATTTCTAGATCCATGACGACTTCTTCCCAACAGTTGTAAATGTATTAAACCTTTGAAGTTATGGGGTGTTGTGGTTCTGTGTTGCAGGTCGAACCGAATAGCTTTAGAAATACAAAGATCTCAGGGGAAAATGAGGGCGGGATGCACGACCATTCAAAAACACTACCAGGTTTCTAATGATACAAAGATTAATGCAAATGGGTGAAGTATCCCTTTAATGACCTGACTGTAACTGAGTCTTTGTGGGATGTTTTCTCAGTCACAAATCGGACAAATAATGTAGCAGTAGCTTTCTGTGATAAATTGTACTAACATGCTTTTCAAGAAGTCTGGACTAAAGCAACAGTTTTTATCTTCTCACTTAATATGAAGGATTATATGTCTGTTAAGGAGTTCATGGGCTGTTATTTATTTCAGTACTAATACATTATAATAGCCCAATTTGAAAATCGCATTTCAAATAGCAAAATAACCATTCTTATGTTGTGTGTTAAAGGCTGTGAATACAGACCTCCCTCTGCAGCAGAGACCAACAAATGTTGCCCCAGCTGGTCCTCTACCCGACATCTACTCCTTGTTGGGGCCTCCCATCGTCTCTGAAGCACCCACTCAGCCCAGAGACAACGCTCAGCCAGAGAGCCTGTATGCAACGGTAGAAAAACTTCCAAAGTCCTGAAACAGTTCACTATGATGTCTTCAACACACTTCTCTGTGTGGAATGACCACTTTAGTTTAGTTTAGTTTAGTATCAGTGAAGGACTTCTGACTGCGTCTTCTTTTTCTGTGCGTCGGTCGTTGACTAGCTACTTGAGTCATGCAATGAAGTTAAAAGACCCAACTACAGTCAGATTGCTGATTTTATTATGAATTATAACAACAATCACCTTCTGACTGGAATCATTTGCCAGATAACCTGTGAACAATTAACTCTTTTCATACCTTTTCTGCTTCTGATTGTACAGTAATCTTTGTAATTACCATCATTAGTGTCAATACTTACAATGTTATTAGTTAAATGTGATGTGAAATCTCGTGGCTGTTTACATTGTGTGGGCGGAGTGGCAATACAGGATTAATGCCCTGGTGGGTTGATGTATGAGTGTGTTGTATGTGTTGTTGAATGTCTCTTGTATTGTTTGTTTTTTATGTTGTGAATATGATTCAATACATTTTTTACATTTCAATCTGCTGATGAATAATACCATTTGGACTTCAGACCGAAACAAGAACTGTTTTGTTGCAGACATTGAGCCTCTCACCTGCAACATCATAAATTATATGTTTATAGAGATCATTTATGTCACATGCTATATGGAGACACCTTTGCTGTTAACAATCAGGTGACATACAATAGAACTGTTTTGTAGATATTTTATTTTTTAAATTAATTTACTGCATATATTTCAAATGTTACAATCTATTTTTTTTTACATAGTTTTATTGCTAATTTGTTTTTTTGCTAATATTTGATCATCTTGATGCTTCTTATCAAATGTTTCTTTAAACCTTAATGTGAATAAAGCCTTTTTAATTTAAAGCTACAGTGAGGATCTTCTGGTTTGTGTCAACTTTAAAGCACCTTGTGGATAAAATAAAATAAAATAAATCTCATCCAGCTTTTATTTTAAAGCAAATGTATCACTCAACATGAACCTTTATCATGCAGAATGTAAAAAAGGTAAGTTTGGCCTGACACCTCCTCCATAGTGACTTGTCCATGATGATCTCCTCAGCTTGTGTAGCTCATAAAGAGGCATCAGTATTATCTCAGTCTGTTACATAACCAGTTAATAACTCTCACAGGAGCTTTAACAGACATTTAAAGAATGAGTGAATAAGTTTACTGCTTCACACTGAACTTCATGTCAGCAAAAAGAAACAATAAAACAAGAATTAACACCAAACACATCAAACTCTCTCACCTATTAGCCATTATCCATCCAATATATCGATGAGTACAATATATTTACAATGCTTTTGTTATTACTGAAGGTCCAGAAAGGAGGCTTCACATCATATTATGAGTGAGAGTTTATTACTGGGTCCAATATGATGCTGGACAAATACTGTGAAATATCATTGATTAATATTTTATAATTATCATTAATAATATTATAATTAGGACCAAAGACGTTACAAATACTGCATTTTATGTTTTTCTACAGACAACATCCTCAAAAACATTTTAACATCAACTCTGAGCAATGAATTTATTTACAAGAGGCCAATGTAAACAATTTAATTCAAGAAATAAAATCATTTTGCCCTGTGATTAACTGGGAACAGTCCAGGGTTTACCCCGCCTCTCAGCCAATGACAGCGGGGATCGGCTCCAGCCCCCCCGCCCGCGACCCCGAATAATGGATGGAGGGAAATAATAGTATTGTGTGATGGATGAACTGTGTGTATAGTAAAGAAACAATGCCTTTGCTTTATTTAGGTATTTATAATATGTCTATGAAGCTTTACAAAAGTGCTGAGTCACTTCTATCCTAATAAACTTTAGAAGTCAAAGCAGAATTGTACAGGTATTTTTACTCTCTTCATTATTTGCATCCATGTTTGCTGATATTCTTCCTCTGCCTCCTCAAACTACATTTCTCTGTGTTTTATGGTCACCAACAGTCCATCAGTGGAATAGCATGAAGTCTGTGAAATAAGTGTGTATAGACCACCCTGCAGACTCACATACACACAGCTTAAACACAACAAGGTCACACATGTTCAGTCAAAAAAAAGAAAAGAAAACAAGTAGCTCCATTGTGCTACTAGTGGTCAAACTCTCCACAGAGGATTGTTGGGGGAGAGGTGGTTGTTTATTTTTTCTTCTTAAGCTTCTCTACGATGTGAACACTGATGACGGCACACATCATGATGACCAGACCGATCGAGACCACGTATATCCTCAGCCTGTAGATAGAGAAACCAACCCCAGATATCTCTGGACCAAAAAAAAACATTGTTTCATTAGAAAAGTGATGCAAACCGATCTTCAACAAGAATGTGATTCAACAACAGGACAGGGTGCAACAGGTCAGTTGCTTCTCCTACGTCCTCCTGTTAGCTGTAGCATTAGCTGCATGTAACGCTCGGTTCTAGCCCCCCTCAATAAAAAATTGTCAGTCCACCGTCATTGTCAGTGTGAGATCACTGATCTAAGCCCATTGGCTTGTTTAGGCAAACCCTGCAGCTAATGTTGAAATTTCTGAGAAGCGTACTGAGCAATTGACCAATAACGACAGAGCGGATCAGCAGACCAATCAGAGCAGACTTGGCCCACGTGGGGTCTAACAGTGTGGGCTCAACAGAGTGTAGCTGACGGACTCAGAGCGCAGAGGGAGCAAGGAGGAGCAGTACATGAAAACAGACACTTTTTTCAAACTTTAGCTATTGTGAACGTACAAAAGTAGGAACGTAGATTAAATATACGAACCCCAAAAAGGGCAGAATATGGGCTCTTTAAACCCGCGTAATAACTTTTACCTGACAGGAAGGAGGTTTGGAGTACACTGAATCTCTTCTCTTTTGTCCGCGATGGTTGTTGGCATTGAGTAAATTATCGCCCCCTGCTGGTATCGATCACAGGCGTGTACATTTGACGCTGAAGGCAGGCAATGCGTGACACTGACACGCATCCTCTAGTGGACCAACGTGTCTATTACATACTTTGGCATGATACCGGATTGGAGTGATGAGGGATGAAAATGTGAAAGAGATGTTTGTAAGTTACTGATAATGATTCTACTTTAAATGAGCAACAATGATGATTAGTCATGACAGGTGAGGAAAAGAGAGGAATGATGGATGTATAAAGTGTTTAAAATGAGGACGGACTGATGAAATGGGAAAATTATTTCTGGCAAAAGTGATTTAATAAAGCTGATTGTGAGTTATAAAAAACATATTTTGTTCTGTGTCATTCATTAGAAGTTTTAGATTTTAAAGCCAAATACTGAGGCCCAGGATCTCTGACTGTATGCAGTATATAATCTAACAGTAATGTATTGTACTGCTTATGTAGATACCTGTAGGGGGAGCAGAGAGATGGGCCCCCTAGAAATCTGAGTTGCCACCCCAAGTGCCGCCCCCAGAATCTTAAACTGTGTTTGGCTATTTGCCCTGTCAGAGGGGAGACTTATGTTCAAACCAACAATCAGGTCTTTTTTTACAGAATGCTGCTCATAGTTTTCATATCAATGTAGAAGTTTTCATTTATTTGTACTTTAACTTGTAAATTAAAAGGTTGCCCATCTTTTTAATAAGACAGGTGCATAGGAAAGAAATGCACTCTGTCTTACTTGCAATGAACTAACTAGCAATGTGTTGGGATGTTTAAGTACTTAAAATTGTATATTGTATATAATAATGTATCCATAATCTTGTATTATAAAGTAGATGGGATTGGTTGAAGTCAGTAAGGATAAAAAATGTATATTTGTTTCAGGCCACACTTCTCATTGAACCAGTTGGGTCATCCCAGTAACGTCCCTGCGTTTAACTACCCTCCCTTTTCTTGGAAATGAAACTGAATAATTTAATACTGATGCCTCTAAATGGTTTGCAGCAGTCCAGACCATCAGATTAAAGATAAACTATTTCCATAAAGTCACAAACTGCTGTAATAAAGTCTGATGCAGGCAATGCAAATGACGACACATCATCCTCTGTTTCACACAAAAAGATGAGGAAGTAGGCAGGTGATAAGCTCTAAACAACGAGATCACTTCCGCTAGTCGCTCATTTCACAGAATGGGGCCCCTCGTACTTCTCTTCTCTTTTTCTCTGCTGCATTTATGTGCGACACAAGGTAAGAACTTTATTTAGTGTATGTTTCCTGTTGTTGAAGTGTCTTTTGTAAATATCTGTATTTCTGCACGGCTTTAATGATAGTTAGATCTAACAATGTAATCTGTTTTTTCATTAATGCAACACTGAGAGTTTATACAAGGCCTTCATACTTTAAACTGAGACATAATGATTGTTATTGTCAGCGGCTGGTCAGTGGATTGAATGTAAATAATCAAAGTGAAAGACTTTAGAGTTTGTGATCACTGAGTGAACTGGAGATGTTAAGACTTCCATTAGTGTTTCTACAGTTTGAGTAGCTGTATAGTAGTTATAGTGAAGATAAACTGTTCTTTTATCCTGATACATAAAACTTGAAATGGAAAGTATAAAAAGTGACTAAGTGTGTTATAGCTGAGGGTCAGGGTACAGAAACCATCGAGGTCATTTTCATATTATTACCTTCTCTTTCTTTGCATCAGTCTTCCATCTTCACATTGCAAACCGCCCAAATGGTTTGACAAAGCCGAGGCTTTAGGTGTTAATCTAACGGTCCATCCTCCACTCCTTTGAAATGACTTTCTTACTGTCATGGAGTTCCTGATATGGGATTTATATTTCTGAGTGAGAAATATAATAAAATATTGTATTTGTGTGAACTTTACAGTCACTGAAAATAATTAAGAATTAAGCTGTAAAAAAAGAAGAAGCTTGAGGACAAAAGACAACTTGAAATTGTGTCACTTAGTCTGTGTGTGTGTGTGTGTGTGTGTGTGTGTGTGTGTGTGTGTGTTCGTTAAAACATATTTGCGTGTCAAACAACAGGCAGAAACCAGACAGAAAACTCACATCAAGCTTTTTCACAGTTTCTTTTTGACTTCCTCGTTCACTTTTTTTGGCCTGTTCCCTCTGTCCTCGTTCTCAGGCTGGGGAGATCAAACGCTGTTACAATGTGTTGCTGCTGTGCTCAAGATTTTTTTTGTCTCTTCATGTGAAGAGGGACAGTGTACATGAATCAACATTCAGACTGATGTAAATGTACCAGAGTTAGCTGAAAGGCTAATTTTCATCTGCAGTCTTTTTCCCAGAAGTTCTTTGGCATCATATAATTAAATATAACCCATTCACATACACTCATTAGATCAGAAAAATACAGATATAGACAATACCATTTGGGTATTAAAGTGTACAGTGTTAAGTTATAATAATAATAATAAATTAGACTTGATGTGGCCAACCACCGCCGT